CGCCCGCCCGGCAGCCTCCATCCCCTGCACGCCTCCTGCCCCCTTTGCCCTCAACGCCCAGTGGAGACAGAATCCTGCCGATCTCACTCCCAGAGACCGTTCCTCCTCCCCCGCCCCGTTCACTCCCAGGTTCAGGCCCACGGACCTTCTCCAGCACATTCAGTCCTGACACACAACCTGCAGGATATAACCGCCTTCCACCTCCCCCATCTCGGCACCGCGTCTCGCACGCCACCGCCCCGGTCAGCGCTCATTGGTCAGTGCTCATCGGCGGTCAGTGCTCATCGGTCAGCGCTGATCAGTCAGCGCTCATCGGCCACCACCCCGGTCAGCGCTCATCGGCCACCGCCCCAGTCAGCGCCCCGGTCAGCGCTCATCGGTCAGCGCTCATTGGTCAGTGCTCATCGGTCAGCGCTCAGGAGAGGATCCGAGGAGAGACTCCAAGGCCTGGGTCTCACGCTCCTCCTGGTCACTCACGGCTGCCCTCCAGCCTCACGGTGCTGAGGGGCCTCCTAGCCTGCGGCACCTGCCCCTCCTCCGCCGCCCGGCACACGGCACACACATGCCTCCCGGCTCAGACCCACCTGCCTGCCGTTCCCACGCTCCCTCTCACACTCTGCTCTCCGGAGCCAGCTGGGCACCGCCCCTCCCGCTTCTGCTCCAGCTGCTCCCAACCCGGATGTCTTTCCCGCACACGTGTCCCCCGTCAAAAGGTCCCTAATGCCCTAACCCAGGGGTGGGCAAACTTTTTGACTCGAGGGCCACAGTGGGTTCTTAAACTGGACCGGAGGGCCGGAACAAAAGCATGGATGGAGTGTTTGTGTGAACTAATATAAATTCAAAGTAAACATCATTACATAAAAGGGTACGGTTGGTCTTTTTTTTTTAGTTTTATTCATTTCAAACGGGCCGGATCCGGCCCGCGGGCCGTAGTTTGCCCACGGCTGCCCTAACCGGTGTGGCTCAGTGGATAGAGCATCGCCCGCGGACTCAATTCCGGTCAAGAGCACATGTCCAGGTTGTGGACTCGATCCCCAGTAGGGGGCATGCAGGAGGCAGCCGATCCATGATACTCTCTCATCATTGATGTTTCTCTCTCTCTCCCTCGCCCTTCTTCTCTGAAATCAATAAAAATCTTTTAAAAATAAAATAAGAAAATAAGTAGCCACCATGATCTTATCTGATGGAGAGGAGAGTCCCAGAGGCTTAGGGAAACCAACCAGCCCCCAAACAACACACCAGCCAGGGGCTCAGCTGCGATGCGCCTTCCCAGCGTGGTGGGGAGGGGGGGCGTGGTGAGCCCCCGGAAACCGGAAACATTCTGAACTCAATATGCATTTGTGGGAACAGAAACAGAAGTCGAGGCCACTGAGCAGGCAGGGATGTGAAAGCACATGGTGCCAAGG